ATACTAGAATCCTAGCTGATACCACAATTCAGTGAAAATACTGACAAATACGCTTTTCAAAAATACAGCTGTATCTTTTTTCATAACCCCACAGACCATTATCAAAATCATCTGCTGGAGTCTTTCTCCCAAAATTTGTCACAAAAATAGAGATTATCGGAGAGAGTATTTTGATCATATCTTGCCATTACGGTGGATATGACGCAGGAGATGCGTGAATTAAGTGGCTTTCTCGATTTCCAGATTTAATCCCATGGGATATTTTTTCTTGTGGGAGTTTGTCAGTGATACTAGTTTTCTGCCTTTCAGCTCGCTAATGCTTAGCATCTTAAAAACTGTACCAGCTATGTTGATATAATCGCTTTGTCGATCATGAACCTGCTGCCATGCACGTGAGGCTATGTGTATCCACCTTTTTTGATATGATAGCATATCAAACACTCGGGAATACTACTAGTCACTACTCGCTGAAGAAAGCTGGAAACTGTGCTTGTCTCCATGTGCATGCTCTTGGTGAGAAAACAAGTTTCATCAATCAGCAGATGTGTCCATTGAACAACCAGGTGTGCAAAAACCTTTGCCCCTCTATTGTCTTACTTCCGCATTCATTTCCTGATCGGATTTCATTGTCACAAGGGATGAAAAATGAGGCTTATTCATTAATATGAAACTCACATGAAGTCGAATGAAGATCTTCCTGAAATATAACCAAAAAAAGAACGCACTTTTTTTCTGTTTGTTTTTTAAGAGATTCACGTGATAAAAGCATTGAAGTACTGCCCCCAGTTAGGCAGGCACATCATCACAAAAATTTACTGTTAGCAACTATAGAATCTCTCTACAATTTTGTGGATAAACGCTCATGACAGTGTGCTTTTTGATTCCTGCGAGACTTTACAAATACTTATGAGATTTAAGCAATAACCCAAACATTACTAAAGTTAAGCTGGAAATTTTTATATCATCACTGAATTGCTCTAAAATTGCATTAACAAACTACCAACACCGTTTATTATCGTTTAACTCAAGGGACACCAGATGACTGAAGGTTTTTTTCTTTGTTTCTAAGACAGCTCATTTTTACAGTGACAAAAATTATTCTTAAATGTTGGCAGACGAGCACTGGTACGGACAGCATACTTGCCAACATATGACACTCAAAAATCAGAAGATTTTTTTAAGAAATCAGGAGATTTTTCACAATGTTAAAAAGACTTTTTTTTAAATGATAAAAATGTAGTTTTTAATAATGAATTAACTTTAAGTAGTTACTAATTCTTAAATGCAAGCAACACAAAATTACCTTACACATAAAAAAATAAATGTTTAGTACTTGCATCATTTTTATTACTTGCATCATTTAAAGGGGGGAACCACACTTTAATCAGTTTTCGTACAAATGTTATGAACAGCGGCAGATTTTGCTTTCGTTAAGAAAGAAACTTCACAATTTTGTTCATAGCAATTGCCACGTACGCCTGCTTTAGCTAATAAAAGTTTTTCTAATGTGTCATCACTAATATTAGATCTAAATTTAGTCTTCATTTTCGCAACAGCACTGAAAATCCTCTCACATTCTACATTACTATGGGGAACTGTCAAGATGGCCTACATAATTCTAGACAGTTCAATATATTTTAAAATTCTATCAGCACCTTTCAGTTTTTCAATTAAACTCCACTGGCTGTCAATCCTAGCTGATTTTATAACTTCATCCAGTTTTCTAATTGTAAACTACAAAATTGCGAATGCAATATTATCAGTGGCAACATCAATATCATCATCTTTCATGACTAAATGAAGTAACACAGGAAATGTGTTCAAAAAGTACCTTATATCAGAAAAAGACGCATTTGCTAGAGCAGAAACATCAGCAACTTAGCATGCAAAATCACTTCATCATTGACTAGAAATTTATGTAGTATGTAATCACATAATCAACAGAAGTAACTTCTAACATAAAGATAAAACTTATTTTTGTCTTCTTCTGAAAGTTCTTCTACTTTTGTAGTTGCAGCTCCTATTACCAAATCTTCATCTTTCTTCTGATTTTTATTTCGCCATAAATCACATCATATATAGAATTACAAGACAAAACACAAACTGCTCTTACAAACTTTGATAAAATGTCTTTAAACGGATCATAAATCATTGATTGCAAAACATGAATTAATGGAATTCTGCTTTGTAGAACTGTGTTAAGAACATCGAAGAATGGCAAAATGAATTGTAAAAAAAAAGCAAAAAGCTTTGTTAAGATCCGAAGAAAAAAACATAAATATTCGTTCTTCACAAGATAAACATACAGTAATTGGAAAATGTTTCGTGTGTTGAGCAATTTTTATTCTGAGAAAAATTTGTATCAGCTTTACGCTTATATTTTGCAGTATTATTTTGTGAACTGCCAGTTGAATTGGTGATTGTGCAGAAATTACTTTATTTTTCTCAAACCTACTTTTAACAATGGAAGTAGTAACTACATCTCCATTTACTTTTTGTTTTCAAACGTTCAAAATCACTTTTTTTTTTTAACTTTCAATAGAGCCTTTTATCTTATAACTTTAGTATTTTATAACTTTCAATAGAGCCTTTTATCTTAAATCTCGAAGCATTTACTTCTTCTTTAAAAAATGCAAGAAGTGGGTTCAATTGATTGAGGATTCCAGATAAGCATTTCTTTAAAGACAGCCAGCGTGTACACACATTTCAAAATTGTTCTCATTTCAGTATTATGCAGCTGTTGGAACTGTTTCAATTTTTCTTCCCTTTTAGAACTCCTTTCAAGATAATAATAAATATCAACAATGTGTTTATCCACATTTCCACATTTATTGGTAAAGAAGCTACCCCTTTTTCAGCAGCTAAATTTAAGAGGTGACAGGTGCACCTTATAATCTGCAAATCTGAATTTTCCTTTCTTAAGATGCCTGCAACACCAATTTTCAAGCCTAACATTACTGGTGCATTATCGGCACCAAGTGCTAAGCAATTATCCAGAGGGATTGCATTTTCTTTTAAAGTTTTAATAATTAGCTGTGCTATATTAAAGCCTGTCGAACGTCCTTCTAAAGTGGGGTAAACTACATTCAATTTCTAAAGACAGAATTCAAAAAAGAAACATTTAAAGTTTTGCCCTAAAGAGAGCAGAAAGTAAACTCAATTTCTGAAGACTCTAGATTAAAAAAGAAACAACAATTGGATACAGTTTTGAATCGGTATCATTGCTTCCATCCATAGAAAGGCAGAACGAAGCTGTTTTAATGCAATCAGTAACTGAAGATTTATTTTTCAAACCCACGTTTTTAACAATTGCACCTGTTTTGGTCCTTGCACTTGAGTATTTCTTAGCGATTTCACTATCGGGAAACATTTTTCTAAATAAAGCTGCAGTGTGATCCGATGCATTCAGTGGCAGGTTGTGCTCCAGTAAAAAAGCAGAGAACAGACATTGTGCATTAATAACTTTTTGGTTATATGTTTCCGATGAAAAATTTAATTTTTCGTTTTTTTCAAAACAATTTATTTTGTCCTTGTGTTTTTGTGTACACACATGTTTGAGAACATCCGCCCTTCCACCATGCGAAATTGAAAAATCGCAATGACAGACGGTACACACCGCAAATTTATTACATTTCCTTGAGGAAGTAATGGAAGGAAAGTCAAATGTGTATGATTTTTTAAACGTACACGAGTATTTCACCTTTCTCGCAGACATAACAAAAGATGATAATTTCTAAAACTATTTCCCGAAGGCACGTGTACTTGCACAACTCAGGACAAGATGAATGAAATAACTAAAGAACATCCAAATAACAGCCTTAAGCTTGCTTTGCTTTGCTCATTAGCTAATATATACCAGATGACACGCAGTGGAGCTCGATGCCCATTGGAGAACTGGAGAACAACGTTTCTGGATACGTATATGCTTTCACTCGCAAAGCAGAAGTTCTCATCTGATTCACAAGCTTTTGTTTTAGATATAATCTAGAGAAAATTCAATTGTTTTCAGACGTTCAAAATCTTTTTTTTTTTTTTTTTTGTTGTTGTTGTTGTTTTATAAACTAAGTATTAAGCCAAGTTCCATAAAAATCGTGAGAAATTTAAGAAGAAAAAGTCGGGAGAAATATATTGTAAATCGGGTTGGCGGGAGAGCTGTCGAAAATCGGGAGTCACCCGCCTAAACCGGGAGAGTTGGCAACTCTGGGACAGTATTTAGTTTTTGCAATGATCAGCAAAGCTAAAGTACACTAAAGTTTGCTTGAAATACAGTGAAATGTAAAATCCTGGATATGGCAACGTAATGCAATATTCTTTCAGTAAATTCAAAACATTTCTTTCCAATACAAGCCATTGGAAGCCTTACAGTAACAGATATAATACTTATTTGAAGTGTATTAAAAGTTCTGGTTGGAAAGAATTTATACTCAGGAATTCTCTCAAATGGTTTAATGGTTGGGAGACCTTCAGATCTGTTCCCCAGGGTGTACAAGTAAAACTATTAGTGAAGTTCTGGCATCATGTCTGACAATCTTGAAAAATGTACTGTGCCTTTCCCATGAACTAAACTAGAATCTCACAGTAAAAAATAAAAATAAAAATAAAATAAAATAAAATAACCAGCTGGATCCATTTACCAGCTGGATTTGTTTACCATGGAAAAAAATGTTCTTACAGTATATCATATCTGTCCTGTTGATTTATCAAATATGGCTACTGCAGTTTCATCTAGTTTCTAATACATTAATTTACAGCTAAAATTTATGAGAAAGGATTTAATGTAAAATTCTAAAATTTGAGCGGTTAATTGTTCTTCTTAAGTTCCTGAAACAGAATCAAACAAACTTTTAAAAAGTACAGAATAATACTTCTACCAATCATTGAAGTTCAAATAATCAAAAATTGCATATAATATTAAAATGCACTAGCTGTAGCTTGATGACAGAGAAATTATTTAATAGTGTTCAAAAAGCCTTCATACACCATATAAATAAATCATATTCTTTTCTATAAAAATTTTTGTGTTTATTGTTTTCTAAAATAAAAATTTTACACAAAATACAATGAATATGCAGATTAAAGGGAAAAAAAGTCCTTCAGATATTTGTCTCAGTTGTCTTGAGTAGATATATGATAATATTGCTACATCAACATTTGCTTTTCTTCTAGGCATGTAATTTATCAATATATACCCTAAAGCTTATCAGTTACTTCATTTGTACATCACAAAATTTCAACACAGATGCACACCAGGCCCCTTTCCTTTAGCTCCTAAAAAGATTTCAAATTTAAAAGTTTTCTCTTGTAATAAATACTGTTATCCCATACAATACAAGATAAAAATAAAAATAAATAAAATAATATAGAAGTCACACCATATACAGAATGGAATAAATGTGTGTGTATGTATATGTAATAAAATCAAACTTAAAAGTAATGACCAGCAGGAATTTTGATGGCGTAGGAGTGTTGATCCATAATGAAGAGGAACTTGCAGGCAAAGGCAGATTAAGTCTTCATTTTTCATTTCAGTAAACATGTTGCGGCTACAATCAAGTTGGCTCTTTAATTGTGCCTATTCCAAAAAGTATACATAGATAAATTTTCAGTAAGAAAGAAGAAGCAGACAGACTGCAGTCAAGCTAGGCGAAAGCGTAGATAGTAAGTGTGTTATATTCACAGTGAAATCTTAATTCCATCTGAGTTAGTTTTGGTTCTCAATACACTTTGACTGGATAATTAATATTGCTGTAAAATGACTATTGGCTCTTTTAGTTTCATTTACATCATCAGAATTACGTATGACATGGATTAGTCTTGAAATGGCACAGTGCAAATAGAGGTTACTATTTTTAGAATAGAGAAGGGAAATTAATTTACGCTGCTAATTTAATCTTTCACATATTCATTTATTTTTCTTACATATACATAGATAGATAGATATAGTACTTAAATTATATTAACAACTAAAATTATAGCCTTCCAAAATTATAGAAAAATTGCGAACCAGTAAGAACAAATTTTAGAACTAAAGCAAAAATGAAGAAGTCAAGTTAAAGTGGCCTAATCATTAGAAGAGTCAGAATGAATCATTAACCTAACCTCTTTCTCTTATGTATTTAATTTTTCTTCAAAGATTAAGCTATATATATATATATATATTTATGAACTTCTTTATTTCTTACTATAGCTTGCAGCTTGATGGTGTTTTGATTTTGATACAGTTAGCAGCCTTCGAGAGAAATTACTAAAAATTATCTTCATAATGGATTGTAGATGTTCATCATTCAATCAGGTTCTTTTCTTATTAATTTTCCACTTTGGAAAAAAAAAAAAGCAGTTCACATACTCCCAACAAAGCAATTATAATTAATGCAAAAATTCATGATTGAGTTAATTTATCTTTTGACAAGTATGAATAAAAGTTAATAAAGATTTTTCTGGCGCATGATTCCCGTTCAATTTTAATGAAAATGAAAATAAACTCAGATTTCGAAAAAATAGAATTTTAATATCATTGCAATACTGTATTTGCAACAAATACTTAATTGAAATGTCTTTGTGGGTTAAACAAAGTTGCTTTGAGGGCTGCATACGGCTTGCAGGTCACCACTTTGAGACCACTGATGTAAGGAATTACAAAGAATAACTAAATTTAAACCTAAAAGTACATAAAATATATTACCTTAATAATAAAACTAACAAAGCAAGTAGAAAACCTTTCTAAATTAATAAAATATTCTGGTCAGAATTCATTTCTCTAATTTGACCTACCATTGATATTTTTGATATTTGATATTTTGTGCAAGCAAGATAAGAGAAACTTGTAGTTTAACTTGTAGTTTTAAGCAATAACTTTAGTGATTAAATGGTAAAAACGTTTGTTTTTGTTGTATTATTCAATTACATAATTGAGTATATTTTCATTCTGTGACTGCTCTATCATTATGGAGAAAAGGAAACAGATGATATTATAAAAACAAACATAAAGGGTGATTTCTTTGTTTTAAACAGTTTGCAAAAGCTGTAGAGAATTCATTTATTAATATATAAGAGTTATCAAGAAGTAAACGACAATGAAGGTATTTGACAGTATGGTATCTTTATTGTTACATTCCATCTCAAACAGCCATCATTCATCTTAGACATTTAGACATTCAATTTATATGTTGACAGGTTTATCCTAAGAAATTAGCCTGCTTCCCCCTCCCTAGAACTGCAAAGAGAAAACTATCACTCAATTAAAAAAAAAAAAAAAATTAAGCTTATGGAAGGAGAGGGAAACGATTTTCAGAAATTAAAATTTCCTATTATTGCATTAATATAATGTATATGCATAATTTACCAGTACCTTTATTTGTTATTTTTTACTGCTTAAAAAAATAGGTTACAATCTAACACAGAAATTGGAGATTTAATAGAGTAACATAAGTTAAAAATGAATAACTAGTTTACCACTTAAAACAGTACTAGTTCATTAGCATTTGACACACGTGAAAAGGTCGAAAAGACATAATTTTCAAAAAGAAGTAAAAGATAATAAACATCAAAATATGAAAGAAAAGAAAGTAGCATACATACTTTTAAGACTACCCAAATAGGCAGTGTAAGTAGCTTCACCTGTCACTTCTCCAACTACAGCAGGATTTTTTCGAATAGTATGAACATGAAAATAAGAACCATCTTTATTGGGAAACCCAAATGCTTCTATTTCTACAATATGATACTTATCCAAACTAAAAATAAGATACCTTCATTGAATTAATGATTCATCTCCAAGATATGACAAAGCAAACAATTTAAAGAATCAGAAACAAATATGGTAGGATATTTTAAATAAAATCTCCTGCAAAAGAGTTTAACTTTTAGTTTTGAGCAATACCAGAACTGGTTCATTGATAAAGGATCTTATTACATCATTTTATGACTCATTTAGGCATTTTTGAAAAACTCCTCAGCTTCCTTGAATGATGCCATTGTTAATGGACATTAACTTCATATGTCACTAGGTCTAAATCCTGAACAAGCATAAATATTTGTGATTATTTTTTTACAAAATAGAAGAATTCAAATCTGCCCTCCCAAAACTTTTTTGAGAGGTTAATGCTTTCAGAAAAATGATATGAGACATTTAAATTCCACTCAACACTTAACTTAGGCAGACAACCCTCATGTGCTTTGTTTTAAATTTTCTTCACCAATAAAGATAGAATAAATGCTAAACTATGAAAGAAAGTAAATATAAATAAAAGTGTGGTATTTATAATACAGAGTGGGGCAAAGCAGTTCATTTATTTTGAAATTCAATAAAAGAAAAGTAATGCATATATATATTTAATTCTTTGAATAGCATCAAGTACAGCAAAGTTTATGTTCACACTGTTTTAAAGATAATATCAGGCAGATGGTGTTTATTATTGTGAACACTGTGTTAATTGAACTTGGAGGTTTTGTTCAACTTTTTCCAGCACATCGACTGGTATGCTGGCGAATGTTGCATTTGCTTATTTGGCACCCTGGAGTTGCTTCGAAAAAGGTGGGGTTATGCACAGTCAAGAAACTGGGCCCGAAAATTTTAGCCCATTTGGTTCATTTAGCGCCATGGAGTGGTTGAAGGAGGAGTGGGCGTTTGCTGTCAAGGCTTACTTTTGTAATGTTCATTTAATCATCGCCACACAAAGTTCATTCCATGCCCATTTCAATATTGTGCCCTGTGGCCATGTTCCTGGTTGGCAATCAATTGTTTCATGAGCAAACAACTTCAGAGAAACTGGTGATGTGAAGCAGACGAAACCTGGACCTCCACAAACAGCAAGGTCACCACAAAACATAGACATGGTAAGGCTTTCTGTTTTGCGATCTCCGAAGTGCTCTACTCAGAAACATTCTGATGCTGCTGGGTTGTCCACTCAACTTGTGAGGTGAATCCTTCATGAAGAACTGAAATTTCCTCCCTACAAATTGGCTATAGTGCAGGAACATAATCCACGTGATTTTATTGCTACGGAAAATTCATGTAAAATGCTTCTTGCAATGCCTGATGACGCTAAACAAAATCTTTCAATCTGTGGCCACACAGAGCATATGTTGGCAGAGAACAAAGGAAATTTTCCACAGCTGACTTAACTTCTATCAAAATATTGTTGCGTGCGTACGGGTTCGTTATGAAATAAATGCACAAGTCCGATGAAAAATGAACAAAAATTTATTATTATCACAACAAAAATGATAATAATAAATTTTCTCAAATTATCATGCAGTATTACAATATCTCACAGTAGTTATCTTTTAACTACTCAAATGTCCAATAGAACGTAATTCAAAACAGCTAAAGAATGCTAATCCGCGAATTCGCTACAATCAACAAGAGCAGTTCTCTAAACAACTACTACAAACTGAGATGTTTTCCTCCTTTTATAAGATTTTAAAATCACGCGCTAGAATTTTCCAGTACTTTCTCGAAATCAAAAAGAGATATTTATTTATTAATGCACGCGCTCTTGTATTTTCAATTTTCCGGCTTAGCTTTCTTTTAATATTCGTCACGCGCTGCACTGCGCGAGAAATAAAACCATTTAATTTATAATTGAACTAACATTAGCTTTTTAAATACCAAATTCGTAACACTGCCCCCCTTCCCAAGGACTGCACGTCCCTGGGCAGCAGTACAATCCCTGGACAGGAAGCCAAACTTACAACTGTGGCATAAATGCAATAATAAGCATTACATTACAATAATAAAACAACATGAAAACAATAAATAAAAACAAAATCAAATACTAAATACAAATCAAATCAAATACACATTTAAAAACAAAAGGACCATGGTCTTATACTATTTACAATTATTTACATTACGTACTATGGCCATAGTAATGAGCTAACCTGTCGTAATGAACGACTTTAGGTTTAGAGTTCGAAGACTTACGGATCCACGACGTCATTCGTTTCAGGACTGTATATGGACCATCCCGAAGGTGACTGTAATTTAGGACTGAGTCCTTTCGTTGAATCGGGTTCCACAACCACACCTTGTCTCCTTGTTTGAATCTATGTCCAGTAGCTCTCGTGTTGTATCTGGTCTTCACTTTCTCCGTCGCCAAGTTCACTCGCTTTCGTGCGGAACGGTGCATCACTTCAAAACGGGCCTGGACATCTTGGATGTGTTCCTCAGGCGATGAAGGCGCATCCGTATGGCGATCAAACAGGCGGTCACAAGGCAGACGAAGGTCTCGACCGAAGAGCATCTGAGATGGAGAATAGCTGGTAGTCTTGCGTTTCTTTTCGACCCTAGTATGATTTCGGCAGCTTCCCGAGCTGGGTCTTTCGGACAAGGCGTCGGCATTTCCAGGTGAGGATCCCTTTTGAGGATGGATAGTCATGTCAATCAGATGCTGAAAGCAGTTTGTTGTTTTTGAAGTCTAAGGCAAAATTGTATTTCCTTAAAAAGGCCAATCTGAGTATGCATGGATCTGTAATATCCGTCACATAAGCCGTGTGTGATGGTAGGCGGCACTTCCAAACGTGATGTTCACGTTTAACTTCCCAGCTATGTCGATCTTGTCACCAGACGCAGTCTGAAGGGTAACACAGGATGGCGTCCAAATAAGTTTATCTTTAAACTGTTCAGCTAAATCTTTCCTAATGATGGTAACATTAGCTCCTGTGTCAATGATCATATTGCAAGGAACTCCATCGATATTCCCATTGATGGACAGTCCGTTACTGTTGCCACTCACTGTAGAAATCTTAAGCGCTTTAAAACAAGGTTTTTCATTATCTGGCAACCTCCGTTCCTCGATATGGTCATTAATTTGTTTACTGCGTCGTTGCTGGGAAATGGTCTTATTTTCCGTACCTCGGGGTGTTCTGCAGTTTCTTCGTATGTGGCCTTCAACTCCGCAGTTCCAGCACTTTAGAATTAGTTTCTTTTCACTTCTGTTCCGTCTCAAGCCATTGACTTGTCTTGGTAAAATCATCCTGCTTTATATTCCGTGCCCTGGGGTGTTCTGCAATTCCGTCTTAGGTGACCTTCACTACCACATCTCCAACACCTTAGAGCCACTTTCTTCTCACTCCTACTCCGTATCAAAGCGTCGACTTGTCTGGCTAAATCATCTAAACGAGCCATCAGTTGATCCACTGGCTCGTGGACTCGCACAGCTCTGACTGGGTAGCGATCTCTACTGAGTTGCTTGCTGGGCTGCCTCGAATTTCATGGCGTACAACAGAGCGCTTTTTATATCCTTTACATCCTGCCATTCGATAGAGCTTTCTGTATTTCAGGATCCGGATGCCGTCGATGAAAGTATTGCAGCGACAGGATTTCCCTTGTTTCTGTCGGGCACTCCGAAAAGGCGAGAGGTGGGACAGCCTTTCAACATCCGTGGCGAGCTCCTGGAGTGTTTCCGTGGGCCTCTGTTGCCGAGATTTTAACTGAAGCTTGCTGTAGTCTTTCAAACATTTGCCCCTAAGCGCAGTTCCAATGCGCCGGATAAAGCTTCGAAATCTAACCTTTGGTTTTCTGGAAGAGTCTGAAGGATATCCGCAGCGTCTGCTCTCAGAGAAGCGGCGAGATGACAGGCCTTAGCTTGGGAATCCCATCCATTCGCATCCGCCACTATTGAAAATTGTGTCTTATACACTTGCCAGGAGGTCTTCCCATCATATGTGGATAGCTTCAGAGATGGACGAGCAGGCATCGGTAAGAATTTAAAATCATCACTCCTGCTCCCTGCCGTCACTACGAATTTCTTTAAAGTATCAACTTCTTTGGCATCTGCAGAAAACCTATCATCAATTTGTTGTTCGACGGCAGAAGAAACTTCTCTTCTATATGTTCTTTTTACAGAAGAAACTCTTTCTTCTATTCTTCTTTCACCGAAGAAACTCTTTCTTCAATTTCTTTTACGGAAGAAACTTTTCTTCAATTTGTCCACCTTTACTTTCAACTGAGTCTGTTCTGACTTCCATAGCCTCAGATGTGTTTTCTCTTATGCAGGTAATTTCACTTTTCATTTCTTCTTGACCAGCTTGAATGGCTTTCATTTTTCCTTAACGGATTCCTGGCCCATTTCATTCCTCCCTAACGGATTTCATCTCTCCTTTAACGGAATCTTCCATTTCTCCTGACCCAATCTTTTCTTTCATTTCTTCTTTAAATTGAGCTTGGCCAGCTTCCATCTTTTCTTGGAAATGCAGCAAAAGCACTGATGAGCTGCCTTAATTGTTCTTCCATCGCTCTTGTTATTGGCATTCAAATCCCACTTCCTGACACCAAAAATTGTTGCGTGCGTACGGGTTCGTTATGAAATGAATGCACAAGTCCGATGAAAAATGAACAAAAATTTATTATTATCACAACAAAAATGCTTAAATTTTCTCAAATTATCATGCAGTATTACAATATCTCACAGTAGTTATCTTTTAACTACTCAAATGTCCAATAGAAGGTAATTCAAAACAGCTAAAGAACGCTAATCCGCGAATTCGCTACAATCAACAAGAGCAGTTTTCTAAAAACAACAAACTAAGCAACTACTACAAACTGAGATGTTTTCCTCCTTTTATAAGATTTTAAAATCACGCGCTAGAATTTTCCAGTACTTTCTCGAAATCAAAAAGAGTTATTTATTTATTTAATGCACGCGCTCTTGTATTTTCAATTTTCCGGCTTAGCTTTCTTTTAATATTCGTCACGCGCTGCACTGCACGAGAAATAAAACTATTTAATTTA